GGTGACCCCGTGTCCCTGTCCATGTCCCCACGCGTGTCCCGCGGGTGTCCCCGTGTCCCTATCCATGTCCCTGTCCCCACGTGTGTCCCGTGGGTGTCCCCATGTCCCCGTCCCCGTCCCCACACGTGTCCCGCGGGTGTCCCCGTGTCCCCGTCCCCATCCCCAAGCGTGTCCCGCGGGTGTCCCTGTGTCCTTGTCCATGTCCCCATGCATGTCCCTGCATCCCTGTCCATGTCCCCACGGGTGTTCCCGTGTCCCCGTCCCCGTCCCCAAGCGTGTCCCGCGGGTGTCCCTGTGTCCTTGTCCATGTCCCCATGCATGTCCCTGCGTCCCTGTCCATGTCCCCACGGGTGTTCCCGTGTCCCCGTCCCCATCCCCATGCGTGTCCCGCGGGTGTCCCTGTCCCCGTCCCCACGCGTGTCCTGCAGGTGTCCCCGTGTCCCCGTCCCCACGCGTGTCCCGCGGGTGTCTCCATGTCCCTGTCCCCACGCGTGTCCCGCGGGTGTCCCCACTGGTGTCCCTGTCCCCACGCGTGTCCCGCGGGTGTCCCCACGGGTGTCCCCGTCCCCACGTGTGTCCCGCGGGTGTCTCCATGTCCCTGTCCCCACGCGTGTCCCGCGGGTGTCCCCACTGGTGTCCCTGTCCCCACGTGTGTCTCGCGGGTGTCCCCGTCCCCATCCCCACGCGTGTCCCGCGGGTGTCCCCACGCGTGTCCCCGTCCCCACGCATGTCCTGCAGGTGTCTCCATGTCCCCGTCCCCACGCGTGTCCCGCGGGTGTCTCCATGTCCCTGTCCCCACGCGTGTCCCGCGGGTGTCCCACGGGTGTCCCCGTCCCCACGCGTGTCCCGCGGGTGTCCCCACGGGTGTCCCCGTCCCCACGCGTGTCCTGCAGGTGTCTCCATGTCCCCGTCCCCACGCGTGTCCCGCGGGTGTCCCCACGCGTGTCCCCGTCCCCACGCGTGTCCCGCGGGTGTCCCGCAGGGGAGGTGCTGTTCGACATCGACAGCGGCCGCGCGGCCCCGCTGCACGCGCCGCC